CGCCACGCGCTGTTGCTCGGTCTGGAGCATGGCGGATGCGATGGCCATCTCGACCTCTTTCGCCCAGAGCAGGAGATTCCCTCCATCCTCCCCCTCGAAGATCTTATCGCTCACCATGAGCAGCTTAAGGCGAGGAGAATCATCCATCACTGACGATGGCGTCATAGACGCAAACAATGCAGACATCTTCTGCTGCAGGTGCTCTAATAGCGCGTTCTCGTAACTTGAAAACGCTTTTAGACGCACACCGATTGCCTCGGGGCCTTGCGACGCAAGGTGTTGCACGCATTCCGGGCCAAGCAAGGATGTCAACTTTCCAAGTCCGCCCTGCATGCCCTGGGGCAGAGAGAAAATTTGTTCCATCCTAACAGAGGATCAGTCTTAACGACTCAGGTGTAGATTGACTACAAGTGCTACTAAGTGCAGCGGGTTGCCGTAGCTTTGCGCTTTAAGGAAGCGGAAGTTAGGTCACCGACCTTTCGTTCTATATTTAGAACAAGTACGCATTAGCGAATCACAATCCGCTTACTCCAAGAGTAATTATAGCCTTAACCCATGGCTAATTAACTCTTCCGTTTAAATCAAAACTGACTTTATTTTTTTTATCTGCGGCAAAGCCGCCTAGTTTATGTAGCTTTTTCTAAATATATCTATGTACATGCATGAATACTGGCTACCCAGCCACATACCCTAAAAGGGATGTCTCTGAAATTTGCCTAATGCTATTCGTTAATTAGGGCATTATTATTAATAAGCTGGATATGGCTCATGGGTGCAAGTGTGTCCGTCTGCCAGCAAAAAGGTCGCAAAGACTTTTGCAGACCCTATCACGTCGTGATACCCAATTTGATTCATCAAAAGCAACTCATCACGCCGCGACGAAGCCTTTATACGCATATTTGTGTAGGCATCTAATGATACAAAATTCTGGTTTTTGACTAGTCAAGATGCATCTCCTCAGCTTTTTTGCCTACGCCTGTAGAAGCAGCGTTGGGTCAGAACTGTATCCTTAATTCAAACGCTTCTCGGGTTCTAAATTCTGGCGAAAATGTCGATGTGTTCGCACTCAAATGGCACAATGATTTAGGAAGACACATCCACTTCTCTGAGTTATATCTATACTAGCTAGCTTCATTCAAATAGACATCATCATTTTATGCTTGAAATTAAAAAATCACAACTGATGTTTAATTAGATGCTGACACATCTATACATATCCATGAACTTGCTAGTGCAATACTCGGCCTATCAGGCTGGTCCTCACTCGTCAGTAGAACGCGCGGTTCACTGAGCAATCCTGCCTCTACGTCCAAGAGATAGAAGTATAGAGTACTCCGGTTTGTTAGTGAAAACAGTATTATGGCAATCTTATCGAAGTGGAACCTCAATAAACCATGCATATTAAGTGTCGTTCATTTCACCAGATATTGATAGTAGACCTAATATCTCGCCAGCCCACAATTCGTTTAAATGGGAGTGGGACACCCCTTGTTCCTGAAGAAGTGTCAAAGGAGGTCAATTCTCGCGTAACTGCCTCTCATGAATTCGTACTGCTATGGCGAAAAGTCTTCTCACTCCAATAGTTTCGACGTGTAGACGATTTTCGGGTTTTACATGCGCTGATACGGTGTGGTTGGAGCCTTTTCATGCAGCTCAGACCAATTCACCTCTCAAAAGCAGAAGGTATCTCAGCTACAAGGATGGTTCGGACGTATCTTTGTTCTTGACAGAGCGTTTCGTACCTAAATGGCTCTTAAAGAAAAGTATCACATCAGCATGCACACGCAAAACGCAGGCTGGGTTTTCTATGGTCTATAGAGTTCGTAGCTTAAATCCTTTCTGGCTGCGATTGAAAGCAGTCCGATGTTGCGGTGTCACAACTTAGGACTTACAAAGAATGCAATGGTAACAGCATTTGATCAAATGTGCATATTCTTGTGTTCCAACTACCTTTGATATCTGCGTGTAGCTTTTGCACATCGTGGATCTTGGCCATAACATCGTGCTCTCGATCAATAACGCTCAATGTTAACGAGATGTAATCCTTAGTTCCTACGGTATGCAGCTAGGCTGGTTTCGGCGCGACGCATTATATCGACAGCCCTTCATTACTAAGACTGGATCCACTTTGTGTCGTCGACAAAGAAAGATGGAGCTTAGTTGTAACGGGGTTACCTGAGAGTGACCCGTCACTCTCCCAAGGGAACTGTGGTGTGGCATACACCACATCTACTT